ACCAGAGACTGTGAACATACTACAGGAGATGACCAGAGACTGCGGACACAGTACAGGAGATGACCAGAGACTGCGGACACAGTACAGGAGATGACCAGAGACTGCGGACACAGTACAGGAGGTGACCAGAGACTGCGGACATAGTACAGGAGATGACCAGAGACTGCGGACACAGTACAGGAGATGACCAGAGACTGCAGACACAGTACAGGAGATGACCAGAGACTGCGGACACAGTACAGGAGATGACCAGAGACTGCGGACACAGTACAGGAGATGACCAGAGACTGCAGACACAGTACAGGAGATGACCAGAGACTGCAGACACAGTACAGGAGATGACCAGAGACTGCAGACATAGTACAGGAGATGACCAGAGACTGCAGACATAGTACAGGAGATGACCAGAGACTGCGGACACAGTACAGGAGGTGACCAGAGACTGCAGACACAGTACAGGAGATGACCAGAGACTGCGGACACAGTACAGGAGATGACCAGAGACTGCAGACATACTACAGATGACCAGAGACTGCGGACAGTACAGGAGAAGACCAGAGACTGTGTACATACTACAGGAGATGACCAGAGACTGTGGACCTTTGGGGAGGGGGGTGCGTGCCAGAATTTGACAGGTACCCACTCCCACTTCCGCGGAGTTGTCCTCCTCCCCTCCCTCCTTGTAGTCTTGTGGGCACGTGACAGGTCCCACAAGACTACGGGGCCTTTCACAAAGCACAGTGCTTCTTGCGCAAGCTGTCACAGCCAGGTGCCCACACTGAAGATTCCGGCACTGGGTAGAGAAGACAGCCAGTGAAAGCAGGACACTGCTGGACCAAGGAACAGGTAGGACAGAGGAGCAGGTTCTTCTGCACTGTAGAGCTGAGCGTCCAGCCCGGTATTCTAACGTGGTACCGGCAACGACGGGAATACCGGGCTGGCTGCTCGATATTCGCTCCATAAGACGTACAGACATTTTTTTTTGTTTTGTTTTTTTTTTTACATTTCTTTAATTAGTTCCTGATTTCCTTGCCTAGGCAAATGATGTCAAACATCCCAGAGGGGATGAAGGTCTTTCTCAGCTAAGCACACCCTTCTGCCTGCATGCCTGAGTTAGGGGCAGAGGGATTCCAGGAAGTAAATGCTACATGAATCATCTGCCCTTACTTAAGATGGCCACGGGCAGAAAAGCAAGTAGGTGTTTTTCAAAGTGATTTCATAGCAAATAAAGCATGGAGACATGGATGGATGGAAGAGGTTGCTTTGAATATTAAAAATGTATTAAAAAGATTTTTTATTTGTAGTGCTCATATTATGTGTAGTTCAGCCTTAAAGTGACACTAAGCTCATGTTAAAAAAAAAAAACGTATTGCTCGCAGCCTCCTTCAAGTCTCCAAATTCCCTGTTTTGCTGTTGTGATCCATCTCCCTGCTAGAGATGTTTGTTTTCTCCATGGTCCCACTGTAAGCAGGAATGTAGCCATTGTTTCATGTTCACTCCCAAGATAGACTGTGTAAAATGGTCTGTGAGATGTGTGGTGTTCATAGAGCAGTGCACATGACCACCATTCATGTGCACTGCTCGTTCCAAACAAATGTAAGCGACAGGGAAAAGGAGAGTACTGGGAGCTCATGGAGGATGTCACCAGGAAGCAGAAAACCACAGTAAAGAAACAAATACATGAAAAATAAATGACAGGGTCATTAGGTAGTAGATGTGTATGAATTATTTTTTGGAGAATAAGGATATTGTTTAGAGACACTTTAACTTTAGATAGTATTTCCAAAGTCATCCTTGCTCTGTTTTACCTACTTGTAATTCATTTAATGCACAGCAATGATATCACCATAGTCTGGGTTCCCAGAATTACTTTTTTCAAAGTTGCATTACATTTTCCATTAGACTGCACACTTTGCCCCTTAATTGAGATTCCTCTGTAATATCACACTAACCTGCTGAGTTTCAATAATTCTACATTTTCTTGTCTAATGGAAAAATAGAAACATACTTTCTATTTCATCCATCAGAGTATTATTAAAAATACTGAAAAGAACTAGGTCCCTACCAATTCATGTGGTATTTCCCTAAGTCCATGGATCCTCATCATTTGTACCAGGCTATTATGAGAAACAGCATCAAATTCTTTAGCAGAATATATCACACAATCTACCTTCCGGCACAAAGCAAAAAACCTAAAAATAAAAGACTCTCTTTTTTAACCAAGTAACTGTAATTTTTAAGTCTATTCAGACTAAGATTAAATAACTGTCACTTTTTTGTAGAATAAGTATGCTTTTTCCAGTGTGCTAGCTTTGTGAATGGAGCCTTATGCATCTACTACTTTATTATTTTCACTATATGTTTTATTGTATGTTAGGCTTATTTATCTATACCTTCCTAAAAGTAGATCTAAAGGCACAGTAATGCCAGGGCACGGTCATCCAGAGCCCAGGGCAAAAATGCCAAACTGCCACCCCCCACCCCCACATTATATGTGGGATGTTGTATTCCTGTGAGCAGTGCTGCCAGCTTCTGAATACATGGAAGAAAAATATATTTAAAATGTATTTTAAAAATATTCTTCCCAAATATATTGCCATATATTTGAAATACTACAATTTTGGCCATATTCAATATATGGGCAGCACAGCGACAAAGTGGTTAGCACTTCCACCAGGCAGTACTAGGGTTGTTGGTTCAAATCCCAACCACGGCACTACCTGCCTGGAGTTTTGCATGTTCTCCATGTGCCTGCTTGGGTTTCCTCCAGGTGCTCTGGTTTCCTTCCACGCTCCAAAGGCATGCTGGTAGGTTAATTGGCTCCTGTCTCAATTGGCCCTAGTATGTGTATGTATGAATGTGAGTTAGGGACCTTAGACTGTATGCCCCTTGAGGGTTAGGGACTGATGTGAATGTAGAATATATATGTGTAAAGCGCTGCGTAAATTGACGGCACTATATAAGTACCTGAAATAAATACATAAATTTATATATATATATATATATATATATATATATATATATATATATATATACATACTGCATGTTGAAATGCGTTTTCATTACAAAATATATGAAAAATATTTTTTAAAAAAATCCATTTCAAATATACTGTATGTCTTTAAAAATACAAATCTACATTTTTGGAATGCATTCATGTAAAAATATATGTTAAAATTACTTTTTTATGTGTTAAAAAAATCTGAAGAATATATTTTAAAAAAATATAATTTCTTCATAAATTTAGACCAAAAATTCTGCATGTCTTTGGTAAAAAACAAATCCCCAAAAAAGTGTATTTTGATTTGTTTGTGTTAAAGTTATACAAACTATGGTATATATACTGGAATTTTTACTTATTTATTTTTTAAACTAGTAATGGAGGTGATCATTGATTTATAGTGAGACTGTGATAGTGCATTGGGCAATCTGACACTAAATGACACTGGGTGCGAACTGACTAACCAATATCATCATTGACACAAATACAGTAATCAGTGTTCTTACTACAGTGATTGTCACTGTACTGATGACACTGGCTAGGAAGTGGTTAACATCTCGAAGCTAAGTGTGTGCCTAACAAGTGTGTATTACAAATGTGTGTATTATGTGCTGCTTTTTGCTAAAAATCTATTTGTCCCTTCTCCCTGCTATGCAGGAAGAAGAAACAAAGAGATTGTTCCCTCTGTACAGTGCCCTGTGTTGTTTGTCAACAAAGGGTTCTGGGCTGTGATTGGACACAGCCAATCAGCAGGTCTCAGCTATGAATCATTGGCTGACAAAATCCTGCTGTGGCTAATTAAAGTGGAAGTCAGCAGGAGGCACCCTGAACCCGGAAGCAGGGAGCAATGTACAAGTGTGCCTCTGTGCCTGTAGAAGCCATCTGTCCGCAGTACAAGTTCAAATCCTGTGAGGAAAGATTTTTTAGAATTTCCATATGAATGGTCAAACAAAATTCGACTGGTGTATGGCCAGCTTTATGAACAATCAGAATAATAGGGGTAGGCTAGAAAAAAATGTAATTCCATGTGGAAATGAATATATGATTTTAGATAGGCCACAAGCACACTTTAAATCTAGATTTGTCCCCATCCCAAATAATAGTACAACGTCTTGTGGAACGTACACAAGTAAAATTAATCTGAGAGGGAAAAAAAATCTGCTTTTTAATTACTGAACTTAATTCCATTAGCACACAGGGGTGGAGAACATATGAAGCAGGCTCTTTATTTATATGTGGACTCAGTAATGTGGTCAATGGCTTTATTTATTAACCAGTGGTTCCATTCACACTTGTAGGACTCCAAAGTTGTATGACTTTGGAGTGCAACTTTGATACAACTTTAGATGGGTGCAACTTCGATATGACTTTTGTTTTCATTAATGATAGTGGGTAACTGTTGCACAACTGTTGCATGTATAACTTTCAAGTGCAACTTTCATACGACGTTTGAGGGTTTACATTGCAGTCTATGGCACTCAAGTTGGATGAAAATCTTCCCAAAGTAGTGCATGGACTACTCTGAAGTCACTTCTACTTTAGGTCTTACATATTTGAAGGGTTGTCATTGAAAAACATAGGGTATGACATATCATGCCACTTTACTGTCCAAAGTCGTATGACAAGTTGCACAAGTGTGAATGGAGCCTTATTAGTGTACAAGGTCACTAAGGCTTGGTTCACATCTGTGCAGGTGGTGCCACTGCGGGTCGGCACAAAAATCCGTGCAGCCGCACCACCCGCACAGAAGAATGCGGACCTACGGGCGCGTCCCATTAATTCTAATGTCATGCCGCCTGCACTGGAAATCGCAATCGTTCTGGGAACTGAGGTTCCCGTGCGGACTGCGTTTTCAGAAGAAGTGCAGGGACTTCTTCCCTGCGTGTCCCTGCATGGGAGTCCATTCAAATGAATGGGCTCTCGGCACACAGAAACGCAGATATGTGAACCAGGGGTTAGACAGCTAAGAGATACACCCAGACAAAATTAACCAAATTTCCTTTTGCTGTTTAGTGACATTGCCTGGATCATCTATAGTTTGACTGTATCCCAGGAAGAGGGGCGGACTGACCATTTGAAAACTCGGTCAGTAGGGGGCCCCATGAGATGCCCCTGGTACCTTTTTTATAGGCTTTTTTGAGTTTGGGCAAGGACACAGGGGCCCCATGATCCCCTATTGCCCGGGGGCCCCATGAGTTGTCAGTCCGCCCCTGCCCAGGAATTAACTGACTGGCTACTGTATATATTAAATCTATTTTGAATGCGTTTTGCTGTACATCCTAAAATAAATACACTAATATTGGTTGCTACATAGGCAGGTCTCAGCAGTGGCAAGGTTCAAATGTTCAAAAAGACCTATGGAACCCTGAACAAGTTCTCCAGCCCTGCTAATGACCTTGAGTTCACATCTCAGTCTAGAAAATACAACAAATGTGTTTGCAATTTATAAGTTGAGCCGAGCAGGTGGGTAATATCCAATGTGATTCTGACCTATTAACACACACATGCTTTCATCAGCAGCCATTTGTAACATGACATCTTTCATGATGGTCTTGCAAACAGACCCTTCTTCACATCCTCATGTCAGATAAGAATTAAGATGAAGGAAAAAAGAACTTCTTCCTTTGACAGCTATAATAATGTTTCAGCACAGCCATTCAAAACCTTAATTATTTTAGTTAACTACTTTGATACTGATTCTTATTTATTCCGTGGTCTCCAAACAATCTTTTCATCTGCTGGCAGGAGTCTTGGAATAAACAGATATTGTACACCATCAATTGATTGATAATACGTATCTGGAAGATATATATTTAATAGCTTCATCTTACTTCCGCAGCATCAGCGATAGAAACCATTCTAAACAGGGTCCTGCCATGCCGAAGTTTCTTTACATTGGACAGACAGAAGCCGATTCGGATGGATATGAGCAACGCGTCCACTTTCTATTTTCTTTTTTTTTTAATCTGCTCCCAGGTGTCTACACAACTTAAACACATCCCACCTATTGACATCTGTTTTGTGTCTTCACATCCTGAGGGTTTTAGTTCTGCTCTGAGGATCATGGAAGATAAAATAAAAGATAATGAAGAAATAGGCAAAGTCACAAAAAAATGAGTTCCCCTTCATTCATTGTCCAGGAACCTTTGTTCTCAATGGTGACCTCCTGCAGGAAGACAGCCTGGGAATAGAGGCTGGAGTAACACCTGCATGTGCATTGAAAGTCATGACATTTCGGAAGGGCCTGTGGAGCGAGGTGACATCACTTACTGCCCATATACAAAGTAGAAATAGGCGTCTTACCTCTTCACATTCCAGCACGTGCCTACAGCCTGTTAACCCTTACAGTACCACACTGGGTTTTACTACATATTAACAGTCTATTGTGTAATCCAATCAGTATTTATCATTAAATATTTTGAATTGAAGAAAAGTGAAATCTGATTGGTTGCTGTAGGTTTCTGCAATTACCACATTGTCAAACTTTACATTCATTGTAAGAGTACCAATTGCTTACAGTGTTTTAAAATTTTCTTAAAGTAGATCTCAACCCTAATTGGATGCCATTTATCTATCTAAAGCACAGTGCAAAAAAGTCAGGTTTGGTTCTTTTTTGTTTTTTTTTTACATGTTACTAAACCCACATCAGTAAAATCAGTCTGTATATGCAGTAAAGCATGGCTGTTAAACTCACTGTAGAACCTAAGGGGTTAATCCTTTGCATTGTGTAAAAACGCTGTTTGATCATGTCTTCCCTGATCCTTCCCTTCTTCCAGTGTCCCCGTCTTATCTCCTGATAAGACATATCGTGTGGAGTCACACTGCACATGCTCAGTTTGGTGCGTATTGCTAGAGAGGGTGTTGTTTTATTTTTCTCAGGAGAGTGCATGTGATCAGCACAGGGCCAATCAGCACTGTTCAGACAGAGTTCAGGGGTTCTGCATCCTCACAGTAGTAGAAAACTCCTCCTACAAGCTGTAACCAGTGCTCGACTGGACACTGATAGAAGTCACAAGACTGCTAAATACTGCTGATGAGAAAAGGTATATAGCAGTTTATATTTACTAAAATAATCGCATTTCCATGTTTTGTGTACTGTGGGAGATCAGATATAGTGAATGCAGGGTCCTGGGTTTAGTAACACTTTAAATAAAATATGCTTTTTACTTTTTTTTTTCATCTTATAGGCCACTTTCACAGGAATTTCTGACCTGGTCCACCTGTCCACCTGTCATTTTCTCAGACGGACCTGATCGGAATTCGAATCTATGGGCAGCATTTTGAGGATGTAGATATTTACTTCCAGAACAAGGAACAGAGGGTGCACCAACCTAGCGCATTACCTTTGTGGTAGCTTTATTTGTAATAAAAAGACAGATGTATACTCACAAACAACATCGATAAGGCACACCAAAGTTCACAATGTGCTTGAAGCAACCTGGTGACCTAGATAAGTCCCAAGCATGAGAAGACCTTCCAAAAGACTGACGCGTTTCGAGGGGGATTTACGTCTTCTTCAGAAGAGGGCTCTGAAGTGTGTCTTTAATAGTCTCTCTCGCTGCATTTCCTCCCTATATTGTCCTAAATGATGTCCTTGATTAGAGACTTGATATTGATTCTTATTTTTTTTTTTTTTCATTTTAATTTTACATTTACATTTTTCATATTCACATGCTTTTTACATACACATTAAAATATATTTATATATAAATAACAAATTATAATGTAGTGCTACTCACATAATAAACAAGTGCATATAAATATATGTACCAAGTGTATCAATTACTGAAAAATGCCAAATCAACTATTGACCAAGTGATTTCATGCAAAAATCCAAACAATTATATGTGAACACAAAATGTGATGGTGATAATTGAAAACAATTGATGCTGATCAAATACAATCTTCAAAGATAATTATAATGACCTAAACCATATGGAAAACATATATATCTCTTTATACAAATCCATTCAGTGTAAATAATATAAAAATTTAAGCGTGCATATAGTGAGCATACTATTGTGAAACCACAATACAAAAACAACAAAATCAGTGCTCTTAAAGTCTAATATATGCCAATGGTGACACTTAGATGACACACACTCGTGCTGATATTTGTGTGCAAGTGGATATGACAATCCGACCACCGTCTGGATAAGCCTCTCACCTTACAGCTTCGACCCTTGTGGGTCAAAGAGCTTTACTGGATCCTTCTCACGGATCCTCCAAGCCTGCTATCCCTCCAAATGACCTGTGTCAATAGGTAACTCGCTCCATGCACTGCTCAGTACTGTGTGCAGGAAGCCTGGGGCTGTCACCAGCACTGAGATCCAGAGATTGGTGCTACAGTTGATCTTACCTGGAGAGGAGCCATTAGTGGAGTGCTGACCCCTTGAGGGATTTGGGTGCGACAAGGAGCGACCATTTGGAGGGATAGCAGGCTTGGAGGATCCGTGAGAAGGATCCAGTAAAGCGCTTTGACCCGCAAGGGTCGAAGTTATAAGGTGAGAGGCTTATCCAGACGGTGGTCGGATTGTCATATCCACTTGCAGGCAAATATCAGCACGAGTGTGTGTCATCTAAGTGTCACCATCGGCATATATTGGACTTTAAGAGCACTGATTTTGTTGTTTTTGTATTGTGGTTTCACTATAGTATGCTCACTATATGCACGTGTGATTTTATATATTATTTACACTGAATGGATTTGTATAAAGAGATATATATGTTTTCCATATGATTTAGGTCATTATAATTATCTTTGAAGATTGTATTTGATCAGCATCAATTGTTTTCAATTATCACCATCACATTTTGTGTTCACATATAATTGTTTGGTTTTTTGCATGAAATCATTTGGTCAATAGTTGATTTGGCATTTTTCACTAATTGATACACTTGGTACATATATTTATATGCACTTGTTTATTATGTGAGTAGCGCTACATTATAATTTGTTATTTATATGTCTATGGTAATCATTGGTATATGATTTAATGTTAGCAGCTTCTCTTCTTTATATATAGAGTTGAACACTAGTGAGCGCAGGAGGTTCACACCATTATTAACATATATTTATACACACATTTTCACATATTTTTATTGCAAATATATTATTTATTTACTTATTTTCACTTTCTTCTTTTTCCATCATTCTTTTTTCTTTACTTTTTTTTTACCATACTTACTTTTTTCACATCATCACACATCATCACACCTGCTGATAGTTTCTCATCACGGCCAATGATGCTTATGTAACCAGCCGCTTTGTGTGTTCTCCCTACCTCTGTGACCAAGCTCTGGCAGGTGAGGTGAAACGCATCAGAGGGCATGGCTGGAGCGCCAACTGAGGCACACACTGTCATTGACTTCATTGGGTCGGATTGAGCGGCGTCCACTCTACCTGCATTTATACCTCCTGGATTTGTGCTGGGACACCCCCTCCTGTCTTCTAATTATTGGTGGGGCAATTATATACAGTATGACTTTGAGTGGCGCTGCAAGCTTGTTACACCACTGAATGGGCACAGATGTCATAAATACGGTATCCACCCCATTTTGCTCCCAGATTCCCTGCTGAACAGAGTGGAGTGCCCTGTAGGAAAGGTCTCTTATTGCATCTTAGAGCTGCTAAACTCTCCCAGCCCTTTTTAGCCACTTATTGTCTATGGGCAGATTAGTGGTTAAATGGTTAGCACTTCCACCTGGCAGTACTAGGATTGTTGGTTCAAATCCCAACCACAGCACCACCTGCCTGGAGTTTGCATGTTCTCCCTGTGCCTGCATGGGTTTCCTCTGGGTACTCCGGTTTCCTCCCACATTCCAAAGACATGCTGGTAGGTTAATTGGATCCCAACTAAATTGTCCCTAGAATGTGTATGTATGAATGTGAGTTAGGGACCTTAGATTGTACACCCCACTGAGGGCAAGGGACTCATGTGAATGTACAATAAAGATGCATAAATTGACAGTGCTATATAAGTACCTGAAATAAATAATATACTCTCTCTAGATTGGCTGCACATCATGTCCTTGAACAGCTTCCTAGTAATAACAATGGTGGATCACATCTCCACAATGTGTGTTGAAATGGCCCCTTAGTCTAAACCAGGGGCACATGTGATAGGTTGACAGCACAGA